ATTGTGGCGAAATGCTACAAGGTCTTCAAATACCTATAGAATGATAGGTTTCTTTTTTTGTGAGTGTAAAACACTTAAATACGCCATTTCGATCTAGGAATGAATGATTGGGCGTGTAATCTTAAGCCACACCTCCAGTGCATCACGTGGCTTGTGCGCGCGCGAGTTTACTATGTATACGACACTTTCTACAACTGCTAGAAAAGATCTGTGAAGAGCTTAGAAGACGGTTGCGTTGGAGACAAGTCTAACCACGTGCATCATGCATCTGTTGCTCCCTCTCTTTTATTCTCTCACGCTCGTGTGGTTTTATGTTATATTAGCAGAAGGTAAGGACACTTTGTTTTAAACAGGTGAAATTAAAGTAACAGGTATGTATTTTAATAAATAAACTTAGTAATCCAAAAATTGGGATAACACACGTTCATCAAATTGTAGATTGAACTGGACCTCCATTGAACTAAGACTTCGAGATTAAACATTTTTCGGAATACTAAGTTTATTTATTATATCTGTGACTATATAATGTGAAGAACTTAAGAGTGGCCAATGACACGTTTCCTTCACTTCATCTATCTATAGGTGTTTCTGATAGTAACTGCAAAGCACCTTCACACCAACAGTATATTTGAGGTTTGATATAATATTAGCAGAAGGTTTGTTTTAAATAGGTGAAATGAATGACGTAACAGGTGTGTGGTGGCCACTCCTTACCTTTTGTTAACATAACATAAAACATTTCACCTATTTAAAACAAAGAATGTTACCTGGAAATCATAATCTTACCCAACGTGTGTAACGGGACGTATGGAACCATCGGCTGGTAAAATGAACAGGATTTCAACGCCATATGTAAATATGTACTAAATTCTGAACCAACGAAGTCATTTCGTAGGTTGCACGTTTCCAGTAGTCCAATAGTAGGCTTGAAAGTTTATTAAACTAAAAATGAAGGTTCGATCTTGCGATGGACACACCATGGATAACCCATTGTTTAATTTTGTGCTTTAAATAAGCAAACAAAACAAGACTAGCTTTCAGGATTAAGCAGCTTACTACTCCACTTATCCCCAAGGGGGTGCAGACTAGCTTTCAGGATTAAGCAGCTTACTACTCCACTTATTCCAGGGAGATGCAGACTAGCTTTCAGGGTTAAGCAGCTTACTACTCCACTTATTCCCAGAGGGAGGTAGACTAGCTTTCAGGATTAAGCAGCTTACTACTCCACTTATTCCCAGGGGGGAGGTAGATTAACGTTCGGGATTAAGCAGCTTACTAGTCCACATATTCCCAGGGGGGGGGTAGATTAACTTTCATGATTAAGCAGCTTACTACTCCACTATTCCCAGGGGGTGTAGACTAGATTTCAGGATTAAGCAGCTTACTACTCCACTATTCTTAGAGGGGAAGTAGGCTAACTGTCAGGATTAAGCAGCTTACTACTCCACTTATTCCCAGGGGGAAGTAGACTAACTTTCAGGATTAAGCAACTTACTACTCCACTTATTCCCAGGGAGAGGTAGATTAACTTTCAGGATTAAGCAACTTACTAGTCCACTATTCCAAGAGGAAGGTAGATTAACTTTCAGGATTAAGCAGCTTACTACTCCCCTTATTTCCAGGGGAAGTAGGCTAACTGTCAGGATTAAGCAACTTACTAGTCCACTATTCCCAGGGAGAGGTAGATTAACTGTCAGGATTAAGCAACTTACTAGTCCACTATTACGTGTTAAGCTTAAGAACGCGCCACTATTTTTCCTAAAGTGTTGGTTTACAGTTATCACTTAATAAAATCATACACTCATTAACATGCTGTAGTGGAGACATTACGCAATCGGAGGAGGTGAGGGGAAAGTATTTTATATATACATTATTTCACGAAGTTTCAATTTCTTGTTTCTTAAGTTTTCAATTCTGCCTCAAATATTTTAATATATTGACAAAGAACGTCCTTGTTTATCTTAGTAAACAGCTGCAGAGTAACCTTCTTTAATAACGTGTCTTTATGACGTCACAGCTTTACGCAAGGAACTGACACATCTTCACATCTCGTCCTAAACGAACGCGAACCTATTTGTGACTAATATACAAAGCACAAACATCGCGGGTCACGTGACCGCCCTTGTGAATTAAAGTATAAAGCCCCATTTCCGGTAAAGGTTTTTTTTTCCAACCGATTTTAGGACGATTCCACGTGACGTCCATGATATGATATCCAAATCCTTAGTTTAGAAGTTTATCCCTTTTAGTGTTGATATCATACTTAAGCCGATCAGCTTTTGACGCACTAGTCTCCGTCGTTGTTTGTTTACTTACCACGCATGCTTCACAAATAAGATGTTTCGAAATTTATGTTTAATTTTAAAGAACTGTTTGGTTACATAACAAAGTTCATTTCGTCTCACTTTCCTCATTTACAGCTATGAATGTTAATCGACATTAAATTATTCTGAGCTACGAAGTTAATACCTCTAAATTTCTCATATATTACGTCATGCAACCTTCAATGAAGTTAAAGACTTCCACATTTTCTTGGAGGCACTAAAAGTTCCAAACGTCCGTCCACCGCCGCCTTCCGCATGTAGTAGTGATACTCTTACCTGTCCCTCAGTAGTGAAAAACACTATTATTTATAGATTTTATAGCCTATATTTCTTATTCTTTATATTAGAAGCTTTGCTTCGTTTCTCTGCCTAATAGTTAAAGAGTTATCATAATCATAGGGTTATACTGTTATTACAGAAGCCTTTGCTTCGTTTCTCTGCCTAATAGTTAAAGAGTTATCATAATTATAAGGGTTATATTGTTATTACATGTATGTTTTGGATATTATAAAATTGACGATGTATATTTTATCTTAGATACATGAATACAGAATATGTTAAGTTATGCTTAGTTATTTTCTACTATAAACATGCTTCAACACCTTCACGACGACACCTAGTGAGGAACATTTAGAAACTATCAACGTCTTCTTGGTGTCCTATTTCATGGATAATCTTGAGGTTTACCAAAGTTAATAACATATATGATATATAACCTATTCTTATCATCTATATTATATTGTCAAACGTGCGACATCTGGATAAAAAAACGTGCTGGGAAATGTTTTCTTAACAGTTTAGTGGAAATGAACCCAAAATAGTGATCCATGAAAAAGAAATGTTCTGAGGGATATTTATCAATGTTGCTGAAAAATATAATTTTCCATCTGTGCAACAAAGATGCAGGTGACAACTAAAACATTTGATATTTAATGTCAGTAAAACATTTGACAAGTAATTAAAAAAAAAACATTTTGTAAATGTAGGGACGACAGTGACAAAAAGAATACAAACAATAATATAGGGATGGTACAGCGATACAAAGATCATTTGTGCATGACTTTCAATATTAAAATTTAATGTTACACTGTAAAATACACGAGTACAAAATGGTTACAAGGTCGGTCGAATTGACCGACCTCGTAGCGAGAGGTTGTAATAATCAAGACATGTTTTAACGCAACTTGGTTTTCCTTGTATGTAAATATTAGGCTCTTAGTTACACTAAATTGATGCATACCCTGATATGGCCATGATATTATTAGAAACAAACTGCATACCAACAGTCAGGAATATATAAATTCCAACTGCAGTAGTATTAAAGTCAAGTATGCATTTTACAGTGTAACATAAAATGTTAATATTGAAAGTCATATAGGATGATCTATGTATAGCTGTGTCATCTCTATATTCATATTTACATTATTTATAGTACTGCAATCAATACATCATTTTACATTTACAAAATGTTCTTATTACTTATTTTGTGACGTTTTTTCCCTCTGACTGAGAGTTAGCGTATTCTATAAATGTGTGTAATAAAATCTAATATTATGTGTATTGATTTTTTTTATTCCTTCACTTTCTACATAATATAGGGGTTGGCTCCCTAAAGACACCGATTGTATAGTGTACAAAGCATTGAGTATTCTACATGTTACAGTCATCTAATGTTAATCTATTATTGACTGACAATTCCTGTTTCATCCTGTACTTAAGTTTTTTAAAGGAACATCAGATTTCTGTACAAAAGCTAACTTCAAGGGGTAATAATAACATTATTTACACTAGAATTATGTTTTTATAAGTATTACTAGTTATTAAACTAGGCGATTACATCGTGCACTGTCTAGAAACACATAGAGTGGATTTAGGTTTAAAGTGATGTCAGTGATAAAGTAGTTGTAGAGTTATCTCGACTGAAACAACAAGAAGAAGAATTTGGTTGGTTGGTCACATTCTGGTTTGGTATCTTAGCGATGGTTTCTTGCCTTGTTGGTGAAAGTGAGTGGCAATCATCTTTTAAAGTAAAATTCTCTGTCACTGTTGTTTTTTAGCGTGCATATTTGTATTAAGCCTATTGAATACCTTGGCTATCCTCACATGCAGAATCTACCGCTTCTGTGATATTTCTTGTTAACTATTCAGTGGAACAGGTTTTACACGGTTGGTTGGTTCTTTCTTTGCTTCGATCCACATGTTGCGCATGTTTCAACTAAGAAGTGGCATTGGGTTAATTCAACTCAAATGTTCAACCTCGTGCGCACGTGGGCTAAAATAGCCAGTCGGGTCAAAGTTCAGCCAACAGCACCCACTGCCATGATGTCTCTGTTCGGCTTTTCGAATTTTGAAAAAATAACGTAATTGACTGTCACTTTTAAAACGTGACCACAGCTAAAGTGTGAAGCGTGTTCATGAACATCGAGGCTCGAACCCACAATTCACAGCCCACCATGCTAGGAGAAGAATTTTTTAATTCTAATCATTTTTCACAGTTTATTTTTAAACTGAATTTTCACAAGGATAGTTCGTACAGCGATCCCGGCTTTTTTCTTTAACATCAGCTGTTTAAATCCGGCCTTTATTCTTTAACATCAGCTGTTTAAGTCCGGCCTTTGTTCTTTAACATCAGCTGTTTAAGTCCGGCCTTTGTTCTTTAACATCAGCTGTTTAAGTCCGGCCTTTGTTCTTCAACATCAGCTGTTTAAATGTCACTTAGCTCAAGCAGATTCTTTGTAGATAAAAACCACTACGTCATAATTTTCATGTCAAGTCGATGATGGTCACTGGTGACGTATAGAAACAAGACTTTTCATTTCGTGTATATATATAGTTTGTTTATTCAATTACGCGCAAAACTACATGAGGGCTATCAGGCGCTAGGTGTCTCTGATTTTCAAATGAAGGTAGCTAGTCACCCACCACACAATTTTGGGTTTCTCTTTTTACCAACAAATAGTGGGATTGACCGTCATATTATAACACCTTCACTACTAAAAGGTCAA